TAGGATATAGGGCTGTAACGATCCTGATCGCTATGCCTATCTTTTGGCGTACTTCTTGAATTGATCTTAATGAATCTCGCGATCAAGAGCCAGTTACCAGAAATCAACTGGGCTCATAACTGTCAGGGCGACAGCGTGGCTACCAGCGAGTAACGGCATAACTGTCTTCATTGAATTGACTATGTTGCTGTAGAGGATAAGTGGCCAGTTGGCCAGATCCATCGAGATGTGCTACACTACATGAAACAGATGCAAATAAGCCATATTTGGGTTAGGAAACAATAGCCGATGCATAGTCGAGATGCTTGACTCGGTTATGCAATGTGGGCCTGACACCTGGGACGGGACAGGGGTTGGCGCGCTTGGTGGCCTTGCCGCCTGGGTTAAAGCGGCGAGGGTTTTGTGGCAGATGGCCTGCTGAACTTGGCGGCAGAACCTGCCTGAAACGGCGCCAAATATGCCGTCTCTTTCTTTAAGTTAGTAAAGTAATAAAAAGAGAACAATAAATAAAACTTACTAAGTTATAAATAGATAAAATAAAATTAGATATTTATTATTAATATAAATAGATATCTATAATATATATTAAGCAGGTAAAATAAATATAACTTACTTATTTAATAATTTTTTTTTGCTAAATTAATAACCTAAATTAGTAGTTAATAATTATTAAATAATTATTTAACTCTTGTAATAATAATTGTTATATAACTATTAATTATTTATTCTAAAGTTATTTATAATTTTAATAATAGAGATAAGTTTATTTCTCCTCTTTAGAAGCTTTTTAAAAGCTTTTTTGAAAAGCTATTATATAAAGCTTTCTATCACGCTTAACTTTTATTTATAGCGTTTATTTATAATACTTTTTTTTATTTATAATAATAATATTAGTATTATTATTATAACTATTATTTATTATGTAATTATTACTACCTAACTTGTTATTATTTATTTTTAATACTATAAATAATATATTATAAAGTAATATCAATAACCACTTCCTCTTTTATAATAGAGATTATTAGGATTATTTAGCGAATTTATAAAAAGTGTTAAAAATTTAACTAATTTTTAAAGAGATCTTTTGTATCATTTTTATATTTAAGCTTTAGTAGTTAAGCTATATATAACTCCCTCGCTCTACTCATATAACTTCGCTTCGCTCTTTTAGCTCCGCTCTACTACGCCTCAGAAGCTACGCTTCGCTTTTAGAGCTACGCTCTAGATCACATCTGAGACTGCCATCCTCTTCTTCCATCAACTTAAGCGATTGTTGCGTTTCTCGATATCGTCGTCGTTATGATTTGGTCTCCAATCAACTTCGTCGCCCTCTTCGGCTTGGTTGGCCTCGCGAAGGCAGATACTACCTTCTTCAACGAGTCGACTGCCATTCCCAAGTTCCACCTCACACTGACGCCGAGTCTGGTTCAGGATGACTATCGCCTTCGTGGGAAAATCGTTTTAAGCAGGGCATGCGGTAGCAATGAGACGCTGGTAGTGTTGCCTAAGACCATCGCGAGCGTAACATCTGCGCAATATGGTGCCAACGGCTTGACAGCATTCGATAAGGAAGGAGCCCTGCCTCTCGACTTTCAGGAGGTAGCGCAAGGTCCCTTCGGATTACCAACTCAACAATGGACACCTAAAAGAGCCACAGAAGGCCCAGTATCAATCGAATTCACGGCAAAGCCTGCTTCTGTCAACGTCAGTGCTCTTCCGGGGCCTCATTTCGATATTAGGAACGCCACCTGTGGTCTCACTGGCTCGATGTGGGCTTTGGTACCAGTTCCAAATCCTCTGTCGGGTGATAATTACAATATCACCGTTTCTTGGAACATCTCAGCCGAGCAGGGCGCTGCATACACCTGGGCTGATGGTGTAGGACCCCACAGTCACAACTTCGTCGGGCCTTTAACACGACTGACCCAGACTTATTTTATCGTCGGCGACGTCAAGGGCTATCCGAGCATGCCAACCGGCCCTGGCGGCAAATTTGGGATCTACTGGCTTGAGAAGACGCCTTTCGATATCGAAAAGGTTGGTCAGTACCTGAAAAACTTGTTGTCTTACTCGACCAAATTCTGGCAAGACAACTCCACGGACCCATACCGCGTTTTCATTCGCATCAACGAAGAACAGCGTGCTGGGTCCGTCGGGGCTGGCGCTGGCGGTACTGCCTTGCTGAGGTCCTTCTTATTTGGATACAACCGGGATGCAGGGCTGGCGCAGAACAGAGTCATCACGCTGTTAGCGCATGAGATGACACACAACTGGACCCCATGGTCCAGCGGAACCAATGCCGAACAGTCTCGGTATAACGAAGGAGGGGCCGAGTTCTGGTCTTTGAGGCTTCTTTGGCGCGCCGGCATGCTCACCACGGACCAATATCTCAATGAGATGAATACCAGAGCGATCGAGTATTACACCAACCCGACGGTGAATTTCACCGACGAGAAAGCCCAGGAGGTCGCTTGGGAGATTCGCGACGCCCAACGAATTCCATATGGCCGAGGCATGCTTCACTTCGCCAACATGGATGCTCAGATGAGGGCCAAATACAACGGAACTCAGAAGCTCGACAATCTTGCGATTCCCTTCTTGCATACTTGCCAGCAAAACGGCAACTGTGGCGCAGAGGAATGGTTCCCCTTACTTAAATCATCTTTGGGACAGGAGGCCGTCGATGATTGGAACAAAGTGTCTTCAGGCCAACCTCTAATAAAGCTTGCCGAGGGTAGCTTAGGCCCTTGTTTCGAGGTCGCGCAGAATGGAACCAGCCCTGTGGTCTATGTCTGGAAAGTCAAAGAGGGGCTGAACACTTCTAGTCCGGACTGCTTGATATAGTGAACAGTTGGTTGCAAGGGCTGGGAAGCTTAGTTTAGTCGGGAAAGTACTGTAATTTCACCTTGCCCAGCTTCTTTATCTTATCTTGTGTGTTCGCGCTTCTTCTGTCCCAGGTGAATTTGGACAGAGGTCCGCAGCCTCAGGTCGTTCAATTTCAGGTTGAAAGCTGTCCCATTCACCTAACCTCCTCTTTTCAGACGAGGAAGGGGCGCGTTCATACAGCCTTATAAATTCTACGTGAGAACATCCCTCGAGGTGCTTTTTCAATCCTCTACAAGCGCGAAATTCCCCCACAAAGATTCAGAATCTTGCACGCCGTTCCTCATCCTTGCTATCCCTGCCTTGGATCGTCTCTTTCAGCTGTCCTTGTCTCTCGTCTTCTCTATCCTCATCTCGCCTGAGACGCATCACCGCTTTCTTTGTCTGCTTCTGCCTCTGGTTGCACTTGCCTTTGGTGTCACACATCCTTACTATCCCTCCTTATCGATATCGCCATTGTCATCGCTGTCGTCGTCTAGATTCACAGGTTTGTTCAATGAGAATACCTCTCCAGAAACAGAGACCAAAGCTCAAAGCTAACATTCAAACAACAGACCCTGCAATCATGGCTGTATTCTCGCGCCCTACTGAGCTATCCGCTGCGCAGAAGAAGTCATGTGATGACCTTCTCGCTGCTCTCATCCAGAAGAGCTATCCCGTCGATGCCCCCACTATCGACAACATTCGTCAGGTCCTCTGGCAGAAAGTCTTCGCCGACGGCTGGACGACGGAGGCACCCAATCCGGGCCCAGGTCTCCTCCGCAAGAGAACAAGCGAGGAGACCGCCCTTTACATCGGTACCCTCAATGAGGATGTGCCCATTAAGTCCAAGGGCAGGGCCCTCCCCGACTACCGCCGCGCCCGCCACCCGGTGATGTTCAAGGCGTCCTTCCAGTTTGGCGACAAGCTGGCATTCTTCTGGGTGGATGCCCAATTCCAAAAGATTCCCACCGAGTCCGTTGACGTGGACGGAGACCTGTCCCACGAGGACATCAAGAGTATGGTCGCATCTCACTACGACACGAACGAGATGGATCGCGTTGGTGGCTGGAATTGGGCCAAGGTGGTGCACTGGGCTCGTCATCGCACCACCGTCCTCGCTCGCCGCACCAATGCCGGCGTGGGAGTGATTGGTGTCCGGCCCGCGCCCCTCCCTGACGTGGAGGAAGATCTGGAGGAGATTCAGAAAGTGCGCCTCGTGGAGCAGTACCTCCGCGAGCAGGAGGACGATGATGATGACGCCTAGACGGAACGGACTGGTTTCTTCTTGTTTTTCTGTTTGGCTCTGGCTTGGCTTCGGTTTGGCGGCGGCGTTTGGCAGATGTACCCTAATCGACTCGCGAATACCACTTCTTGCGAACAGCTATGATGACTAGTGAGATATCCGGATACTAACTACTTCTACTAAGGTACTCTAAAACTTTGAATGGTCAATAAAGCATTGTTACCATCCAAATATCGCACCATGCATGGACATTTCCCGCTCTCGCAAGCACAGGACGCTTCTCAGAACCCAACTACTTGTCCTTCCCGAAGGAGGTCAAAGTCTCACCTCTCCGGTGCCCAGATGAGAACAGCAGTGCTAAGAAGGCCATACCTGTAGATGACCGTGGCAATAGGGCGTACTTAGTCGGTGACACTGGACCAGACACGGCCCTCCCGTAAATTACATCCAAGTATATTTACTCGATTGTGTTGATGAAACTACTATTCACTGCTTCAAAACACCTTTCAGGCTCGAAACCACCATAAGTCGGGATGAAAACCAGTTACCCGGCGGCATTCACTGGCGCATGCTACAAGCTAATTCAATTGTCGGGACTATATAAGCCTTCCTACTTCCTGCTTGAAAATTTTCTGCGTCACTCTTCTCATATCACCAAAGATAGCGACAGGATATCTACAACAACAGCGACCGCTCACCACACGTAATTTGTCGCAAACGAAAAGCGCATAAGCCAAAGCCAAAGCCTGCTCCTTACACCTGCGAAATGCCTTTGGGACGCTGGCTTTCCTGGAGCGGAGAATTCCCCGAGGAATTCCGTTTTCTGCGCATCGGTAGAAGAAGTTCGACAGCGAATCCTCGCGACGACCATGGATGCCAGAGAGTAACCATGTACAAGTCGTTTGATGACGTTCCTACCAGAGAGATTACGGCCTGCCGCGATGTATGGGAGAAACTGGGAGAGACCCTCGGACCCCAATTCAAGTTTGAGCCTGTCGACATCAACGGTCTCTGGGACCTGGTTTTCGAAAATGGCTGGACGACTGCCGACTCCGCCGGCATGCGTCCCGAGCCTGCTCCTCGTGACGATTCAAAGTTGATCGTCCATGTTGGAAAGTGGATGGAAGACCTTCCTAAGGCTTCGGTACGTTCTCTTGTTCTCTCGCGATATCGATCTAACTTCCGGAATAGGACGACATGCCCGACATTGAGGCACGTCGCAAGTGGCGTGCCGCCTACGTCAAATACATGTGCACCTCTGATGATCACATATTTGGCTCGACTTTCACATTCTGCGACAGGCACGGTCAGGAGGGCCCTCAATCCGCCATTCACTTCCTTGGTGAAAACTCCAACTACTTTGGCAGGGCTGTCGCGAGATTTGAGCAACACGAGATGGACCGCCTCAAGACCTTCAATGAGGATCTTGCCGTGTACATCGTGAGACGCCGGTTGCAGCTATGGAGCCAAGATGGATTCAAGCACCCTTACGCAGATCCCCACGGTCGCGACGATGAGGAGCTCCAATTCTATATCTCCGATCCGCAGGACATGCAAGCCTTCCGGGAGATGGCTCGTCCTATGGCAATTCTCCATATGATGGCCGAGGCGTTGACGGAGTACAACGAGCAGAAAATGGAAGATCGTCGGGAAAGAAGAAGATATTGGGGGGAGTGATGATGATGATTTCGGGGGATTTTGTACTACTATTCGAGATTGCAGGCGACGGCTGTATTTCCACACCTCACAGAGTGGTTTCGGGTGTTAATCACCTGGAAGGTCTAGTTAATATACATCCATCAAATAAATTGCAAGAATTACCGTAGAAATATTTGAGGCAACCATTTCTGTTTAAATACGGAAATTGAATTCGCCGAGAGTTTGCGGTCTAAGAAAGCTGCGCAGTGAACATGTTCGTGTGAAGGTGAACCAAACCGTCCCATCTCCACAACCTCCACTCCAAACAAGTTTCCGCTACTCCAACTCTGACGCTAACCCGATATGGGCATTGTTTTGAGAAAACTGAAGCAACAGGGTTTGGTGTAGTTGACCTCTTCCGTGGTCCATCTTATCTTTCCAACATGGAAACACATATCAGTTATCTTTGGTTGGGCGGTCCCATGTGAAGCAGCTGGCTGCTGGACAACCCTTCACATAGCTAAGCTCGAAAAAGGCAATATTATGAGATTTTAGGGTTCGCGTATGTCATGGATGGCCGAGGTCGTCTTCAGATGTATTCAGATGGTCGATATAAAGACTCTTCGTGAGACGCCCGGTCCTTTGACGTAGGCCAGACTTCAACCTTTCTTGTCTCCATAATGCCTTCAGCCGATACACCCAATATACAACCCTTGGCGCGCTACGATGCCACCGACCCCTCAACCACACCCGAGAAGTTGGTCGAGATCATCAACCGTGATGGTGGTGTTATCGTCGAGAAGCTTATCACTCGCGAACTCGCGGATTCCATCAAGAAGGATCTGAAGCCTTACTTCGATGAAGATATCCCTGATAAATATGGCTTCTTTCCACCTACAACCCAGAGAGCCTCCGGACTGCTAGCAATCTCGGATAATTGCATCGAACTCGCCTGCAACAAACTTTACACTGATGTTGCAAATCTCATGGTTTCTTCGTCTTACACTTTCTGGAGGGGTGACCACCAGAAGACCGTGAGCGGGAAGCCTATCATCTCCTCGACCGTCGGCTTCCGAGTCAACCCGGGTGGCAAGCGTCAGGTTTTGCACCGCGACGATAAGTAAGTCTGATGAGGGGGATCGTTAGGTTGAGATGATCAGCTCACAAGTGTCCAGCGACTATCATCCTCACGATAAGAAGTTGCCCGTGATGATTGGTTGCGTGACTGCGTTGACCAAGACGACGGCCGCGAATGGTGCTACTGTGATCATTCCGGGGTCTCATCTTTGGGGACCTGAGCGGCGGCCGTTTGACGATGAAACTGTTCCCGCGGAGCTTGAGCCCGGTGATGCGTGCATCTTTCTAGGGAACACTTATCATGCGGGCGGTGGCAATATTACCAAGTGCGTTCTCTTGTCGGCCATTTCCTTGAAGAAAGCCATCCGGATTCGAATCGCTGACATTCGCAGGGATGAGTACCGAGAAACGGTGGGAATATTTCTATGTCAGCCAACGTTGCGTCCGGCCGAGAACCAATTCCTTATGGTACCGTTGGAGAAAGTGGGGAAGATGAAGCCCCAGGCCCAGAGACTTCTTGGATATGGGTTGTGTGAACCAGGTGTGGGCTTCATGAAGTACCAGGATCCGATGAGAGTGTTGTTTGGGGTTGAGGATCAAGAGACCGTCGACTTTTGAACTTCTTATTGCATGTAGTGGCCTCTGATTCATATCTATGATAGGAGGAGAATAGGAGTAACGAATACAACTAGTGATGCTCAAACGACAAGGATCCTTTTTCCGGACGCTTCTGTTGCCCGGGCAAGCGGTCGCCAATCGGCATCTGAACCAGCCCAGAATTCTTCTAGGAAGTTGACCGCGTCTCTGTAATGATTGAATCGAGTAGCCTGATGAATCGCGGTGAACAAAGAAAGTATAGTTTTCTGTCGTTCTTTGTTTCCATGACATGCTGTACCAGCAATGAAAGTTGGCCAAGCAAGATTCTGTACGAATGCCGTTTGATCCTCAAATCCTGTGAGCTGATCGAAGAGATTGTTGCATGCTGTTATTCGCTCGGAGCCATCTTCATGTACACATTCCAGACATTGAAACGAGTACACGAGTCCTGCGTTGTGGTAAGCTTCTACCAGACGAACGAAGTCGCGGGTCATCCTTGACCCATTGAGGCCGAGCCGGCTGGCTGCCATCAAGGTGGACCCTCGAGCTTGCTCGAACTCCGATCGGATCATATTGGTGGTCCGTGAGTGCGGCGGGAATTCATTGGAGGAACCGGTCTCGACAACCTCAACCGAAGCGAGTGTAACTCGGTGCAAGAACGTGAGATACCTCGAGAAGAGCAAAGAGTCCGATCCCGGTACGGGCTTGATTGCGTTGTTAATCAAAGATCGATCAAACGAAGTGCTTGCCGTCGTCACATCGTCGATGGCGAGCTGATTACGAAGAAAGGAGAAGAGTTGTCGTTCTTCAATAGCGCTTGAGCTGTTGAATAGATTGACGATGGTGCGGGCAGCTCTTCTGTGCTCGTCAGCTACCTCGGGACAACATCGGTCGTAATTGGTCATGATAAGGATGGCCGCAAGCATCCACTCAGCATCAACAGCATCGGAATGATCGTCTAGCTCCAGCCCTTTCATGAGCTTATCCGTCATTTGCTGGGCCCGAAGTTTGATCAGTTGCAGGCACTTGTCTCGGGCATCCTCCGCCATCGCTGCGATGGCTTTGTTGGAGCAGCTCATAGAACCGTGCTGAGCCACGAATGCCAGGATAGCAAAGCCGATGGCAGGCTGGTGTTCGGCGAGAGGGATGACTTGTTTCCGGTAGTCGTTCTCTTCAGAGTCCAACCAAACCATGAAGCCGGCTAGGTTTCGACGGTAATACTCCATGAACCTCGCGCCCGTAGCGAAAGACTCCGTGCTCGGCGAGGCGGCCAATTCGAATATTGTCAACCCCGATGTAGGTACTAACGCTTGAATACTCGGGATATCAGTTACCAGTTCAGCATCCTGTGGAGGATTCTCTGAGGCTGTCGGCATTTGTGGAGACCCCGGAGGGAAAGCCCGGGTTGGAACCGGTCGGCCGCGAAGATGGCCTCTCGCTGCAACGCCGTTGATCCATCGAAGCGGACGGGCGTAGCCTGGGCATTCTAAGCCTTTCTTGTAGCATTTATGGCAAGTTGGCTTCTGAAGATCGCAACGAATCCGACGTCGCTCACATGTCGCACAGCCTGAAGGGCAATCAGTCTCTGATGCTTGATGGTCGTTAGGAAGTGACGATGGCGCGCACACCTTTGTCAAATTTCAGCTGTGCGCCTGGGTCCTTCCGGACGTCTTGCCTTCCTCGTCCTGACATCCCGATACATGCATGCTGGCCGTGCTGGGTGATGATATGGTAAGTAGCCCGCTCTCCGGGATCTGTGATGTGTGAGAAACTTTCTTGATGCGGGGCCGTGGCCCAGTGTCCCTATCAAGCTTTCCGCACAATCGTCCGGTCTCCACTCGGCTTCCGGCCCGGCTGACTCGTGATGGCGTTGGTTGGAGATTCTCTAAGCATGACTTATCACTATCTAGACTAGTTTTGACTCTTCTGGCTACGTGAAGGTTCGAAAATAAGCCCGTCTTATTCTTTGCTATCATAACTTCGATCCTTCGGACTTATCGTCTACCTCTTCCATTGGCGCACTTAGCCTGCGCTTCCGCGGGGTCAGTATCACTAGCCTGGGCGGCTTGGGTCGGTTCTGCAACTGCGCGAATCATTTTAGCTCCATTTCATTGTTGCCTAATCTTGCCTGCCTCACGTTTCTCATCAACTCCAGAAGTTCATCTTTTCGCCCGGCTTCACACGCGGGGTTTTGCGGCACAAGCACTCCACCAAGCAAAGGCACGCCTTGACGCATCATCCTCACCTTGAGGTGATATCTCTGCACGATGGAGCAAGAATGCATCATGAAAGCCACTATCTCGCCGCATTGGCTTTCTAATGAGAGCTCCTTTTGGTATCGCCGGTATCTGTCTTCGGGGAAATTCGAGTTCGTCCTCGTGGATTGCATTAACAAAACACGCCGACCAGCTTTTAACCATGAGAAACTCGCAGCTATTTTGAAGCAGAAAGTATCTCCCCGAGATCGAGATATCGAACATAGCTCATTACCATTCACTTGGATTGATGTCACACCTGACGGATCATCGATCCATTTCTTCTTTGAGGGGAAGAGATGGGCCTTTGGCAGCGATGGCAAACTTGAAGGACTGGAGGGCACCTTCGATCAACCCCGGACCCAATTCCTTGCCAAGGAGCGTCCTTCCAAGTCTACGAAGCAGATCGTGACCGTCAATTTTGTCAACCATACCGAGGGGCCTTTGTCATCGTACTGGATTGACTTCAACGGCAAGCCCAAATTATATCACAAAATTGGACAAGGGCAGACCCATGAGCAGCAGACATTCTCGGGCCATGTTTGGAAATTGGTTAATTATGAGACGAAAAATTTGAAAGCGATCTACGTTGCTCCTGAGGAATCTGAAGATGTTGTCGTCATCGAAGAGAGCACTATGGAAGAGATCAAGTTCAAGAACGATGGAACAAAAGAAGACACGAATGACGACGATGAAACGGACACAAATGGATCGGCAACTCTAGATGAGAAAGAAGAACCTCAAAGCAAAAGTCAAGTCTTTGTTCGAGACCACAATGTGTGGTTTCGCGATGCTTCCGGGAAGGAGTCGCAGATGTCCTCCAATGGCACCGAAGAAAGCCCGTTCGACAAGGCAAGAATCATTCAATCGCCCGGTGGGGACTTTGCTGTCGTCTGGCAGTATACCCCAGAAGAAGAACATGTGCTCCATCTTCGGGAGTCAACTCCATCAGATCAACTTGAGCCAAAGGTGCGGCCTGTCCAGTACTTGAAGCCGGGCGATCGCGTCAGAGTCGACCGGCCTCGATTGTTCAGTTTAAAGTCCAAGGAAGAGATCAAAACCAGCGATGATCTATTCCAAAATCCATATGGCGTCGAGAATATTGGCTGGAACGATGAAGGCACAGAGTACCGCTTCATTTTCAACGAACGCGGCCACCAGCATCTTCGCCTGTTAGGCATACGCACTACGGGAGAGGCCAGACGCTTGATTGAGGAGGAGAGTGATACCTTCATCGACTACTCGAGCAAGTCCTACCATCGATTAATTGCGGGGATGGATGAGATGCTCTGGATGAGTGAGCGCGACGGCTACAATCATTTGTACCTGTTCGACTTGAAAGATGGAAAGCAGAAGAACCAAGTTACGAAGGGGAACTGGAATGTTCGCTCTGTCGTTAAAATTGATGAAACGAACCGTCAAGTGTGGTTAAAAGGATATGGGATGATTGCGAATCAAGATCCATATCACGCTCACTTAGCTTGCATTCGTCTTGACGGAACTGGCTTTCAGGTGCTTACTGAAGGTGACGGCACTCATGATTGGACTTTCTCGCCGAACAACAGGTTCTTCGTCGATACCTGGTCGCGTGTGGACTGCACCCCGCAATCTGTCCTCAGAAGTCTGCAAACTGGAGAAGCCCTCCTTTCCCTTGAGGGACAAGTCGAAGACACTCAAAAGCTATTTGCGGATGGTTGGGCAGCCCCAGAAAGATTCACAGCTCCAGGACGGGATGGCGAGACCGCGATCTATGGAATCATCATCCGTCCTTCTAGTTTCGACGCTTCAAAGAAATATCCAATCCTTGAAGATATCTACGCCGGACCGCATGACTTTCATACGCCCAAGGCGTTCTCGGTTTTAGCCAAGCAACGGCAATGGGCAGACCAGGGGTATGTGGTGGTTCTCCTAGATGGTATGGGAACAAATTGGCGATCGAAGAAGTTCCATGACGTTTGCTACAAAAATCTCAAAGATGCCGGATTCGCTGATCGTATCGCATGGATCAAGGCTGCAGTGGAGACGCGCCCGTGGATGGACACCTCAAAGGTTGCTGTCATAGGAGGTTCAGCGGGAGGGCAAAGCGCCGTCGCCGCGCTCATTCATCACAACGATTTCTACAAAGCTGCAATCGCTGATTCTGGATGTCACGATAACCGTATGGACAAGATATGGTGGAACGAGCAGTGGATGGGTTTTCCTATTGATAAGTCTTACGAAGACTCGTCCAATGTGGCTCATGCGGAGAAGTTGCAGGGTGCTTTGATGCTGATCGTGGGCGAGCTCGATGATAATGTTGATCCCGCTTCGACCTTCCAGCTAATCAAAGCTCTGAATGATGCGGACAAAGACTACGAGTTCGTGTTCATCCCTGGCGGTGAACATTGTGGTGGGCGAGCGAAATTTGCCCTGAGGCGACAGGAACGCTTCCTCCGGCAACATCTTCTTGGGTAAACTCAATCAGAAATACCTGCATCTCAAGTGTTAATGAGAAACTATTTTGTCTACGTGGCTATAGTCAATCTGTGTTCTTTCAACTTCCTCAAGTCGTGTACTTAAAGCCCTGGTACTCTTTATCAGTCAAGTCTAGCCAATCCTGCGAGGCAGCGACTTGTTCATTTGCCTCCGCATCTCTGTGACGATTACTCATGGCACAAAGAGCACCATATGCAAGGACACAGATCATGGCCACCACGTAGCACACAATCATTGCAATAGTGCCACCTGTATAGGCTGGTGCTTGCTCTTGGCGAAAGGTCTGAGGTCCCACAATGTTGCCAGCTGCCCAAGCCACATAAAACCAAGCATACAGTGTGACTTTCTTTGTATGTCCGGCGATGTTTGCCTGGTACACAGAGACCAATGTGACATAAGGCGCCCAATATGTGTACAGGATGCTGAAGGAGATTAGCACCATGTACCAAGTATCATTGGGGGCACTGAACTTACTAAAGACCAATGAGCTGACCGGCGAGGTTGTCGCGAGGGAGGTTGTAGCATAACAGGGCTCCAAAGAGAGGAAGTAAGATTGAGCCTGCTACGATCGGAGTACGATATTTGCGGGTTGTTGACGCGATATAAGACAGGACTATACCGGAAATTGTACTCATCGCACCCGGAGGCATAGCTAGTAGGGAGGTCTGAAGAGGGTTGAAGCCCAGTCCAGAGATGATAAGAGTGTTGAACGTAGTTAACCCGCCGTTGGGAACTTGAAGCGCAATAATGGCGAACCAAATCAGCCAAGTTTTGACATCCGCAAAAGCCTCTTTAACCTGTGCAGGTTTGAAAACCTTGTTTTCGATGCCTGTGTTGTCAGACGCCTTTCGCTGGATGATGATGTATCTCTCTCGCGGGCTCAGTCTCTTCGCCTCAAGCGGGTTGCTGGGGAGGAAGAAGAAAATGACGGCAGACCAAGCAATAGTGACGCAGCCGACGAGAAGAAAGACAATTTTCCACTTCGCATAGGATCCGTTGTAGTAGCCAATCACCCATGCCACAAAGCCATTGATGATGGGAGCTACGACGTTGAGAATGATGCTATTGCGTCGGGGCTGCTCTTCTGGACGATACCACATGGATGTGATCAGCGTGACCGCAGGGATAAGCAAAGCCTCAAAACCGCCTAACAGAAAACGACACGCAAAAAGGGCACCGAAGCTGTGGCATGCGGCCATGGAGCAGGCAAGAACGCCCCAACATAGAACAGCGAATGAGAAGTAGACGACAGCAGATAGTCTAGCCAAGCACATCATGTCAGTACGTAAGCTCTTGGATCTGTGTATGAATCAATCGTACCTCTGAATAAAGTATGCAGACGGGCCCATGAAGAGAAGGCCCCCAAAGAATGGTGCCGAGCCGACCCATGAGTACTGCTCGCCTGTCAGGTTGAGATCTTGGCGGATGCCATAGATGGCGGCGGCTGAGATTGCGGTCTTGTC